TAATCAAGAATGATCTTGGGATTCCTTCACACGCATGAAACAAAAGTTGTTGAGGCATTAAGTTCTGAAGAAGATTCGATGACAGAGCACCGTTGGATGAAAGTGGATGTTTCTTTTGTGACACGGCCTTGTTTCGTTCGAAAAGTAATGAGAGACCCTTAGAGCTCTTCTAAACTCCATATCATGTGAAACCCCTGAAAAATTCTCAAGCTTGGCGTGAATTTGGTCCAAATCTGGCGCGATTGCGTTGTTCAACAGTTTTTGCGACAACCTCCCTTTTTCAAAATCCAACAGCAGTTTTATTATGCTGTTCCCCTTAAGAAGTGAAGTGTTACCACAATGAAAAAGTTTCGTGGAACAGAAGTGAAAAGTAATCGATAAACGTGAGGTGGACGTATAATTTTGGGACGTCGGCTGAGTGGCCTTTTACACAAAAATTATTGGAAAAATTCCTGTGATCTCAAATAGAAAATTGATGTTCATAGGCAATTGCGTATTTATATATGATACATTGTCACATTGGAGACTTTTTTCGAAACATCTATATTTCTGAGATTTTGGGAAATTCTTAGGTGGACGTATAATTATGGGACGCAGTGTATGCGTCTAGATATCTCTCCGAACGCTGATCTCAAATCTACCTTCCAAATCTGCTAAACGATTCTCTGAACGGAGTTATGAAGCAAAACAGCGCAACGGTAGTGGTCGGGACTCACAGTCAAAACGTCGTAGGATCGGTCCCTATCGTGTTTACTGTTTTCCATTCTTCAGGAATTGAGCTAAACGGTTTTCGATAGCTTATTCAACTTAACTCCTCAAGAGTGTAATCTGTAATCACGATAAGGAACCGATAACGACATTGACTGTCGACCACTGCCGTTGCGCTGTTTTGTTTTCTTTGTTGGTAATAGATGCCATGAATTAATTATGCGTCTATGGAAGGGGTGTAGAACAGTCCAGTGAGTTTCCACGAACAAGACACACTTAGCGTTGCAGCACGGATCTTCTATGTAATGAAGTCTGGGGTGATGCGGTTCTGATTACGGTTATACGCTAATGTTAAATAGGAATTTGAGGTTAAAATCGAGGTAGGAATTCAGTCGTTCGATCTGGAGCAGGTGTTCACATCAGGAATGAGTAAAACTTTACGAACTGCAGTTCCCTCCTATTTGATATTCGAAATTGGTCGCATATTGATACCATTGAAACGTACCACAATTCAAATATAATATCCCATTATCTCGGTGGAGAGTGAAGGGTTTGACTGTGCTCTTCATGCTCTGGCTCATAAGTGCTACAATAACCGATACTTGTGTGCTTACATTACATCATTGTTTCAATCCTATGTTTTCAGTGTCCAGAAGCACGCAAATTGTTTCCAAAGATGAAGTTCGTGAATTGTAAACCGGACAAGAAAAGTTGTGAATTTGCCTTTCAAGGATTACGATTTATACAGGTAAGCTACTTGTAGAATATCTCTTTTGAACGACAAGTGAGTTCTGTGTCCACATTTTGTCAATTTATCACTTATTCTGATTTTATGACTTCTTTCTTTCCACACTTAACTTATACTTACTATATGGCTTGTTCTCATTTCATCTGCGAGCACCAGCAACAAACCATTCGTTTCGTTCTTTCGCAATCGCCATCCATGGTTGTTGTAGAAGTCGTCGGAGACGGCGATCTGAAGCATCGTTTAGCTGCATCGCAGCTGAACAATGTGCATCTCCCCATCTCGCAGCAGGTCTCCCTTTGGACCGCGAAAATCCTACGGGAGCCCACTCTACCGTTCTTCTTGTCCACCTGTCATCTGCTCTCCTCATGATATGACCGGCCCATCGTAGCTTGGCGTTTGTCATGTACTCCACAGGTCTCGGAGACGGGACATTCTGCGTAGGTCTGCGCTGCGGAGTCCGGCTCGATATTGAGTAAATCGATTAAACCTCAAAAGACATCGCTCGAGCGCTCTGTGAGCTACAGTCAAGGTCTTTGACGTGGATGCACTGCTCACCCATGTCTCAGCCTTTCCACACTTTCTACTACAATTCCAAAATGTTCTTTCCATACTTCTTGCTATAATTACAAAACGTTGAACAGTCGATAACTACATAGCTTTCTGACACGTTTTTGTTCGGCTCCCGCTAGACCTGCCCGGCCATCTACTCCTCCAAACTGATGACTTTCATACCGATGTTCAAAGTCACACTTGATAATTTGTAGTTGCACAAAGCTTAATTGTTCAGAGTTTTCACATAGTTTGCGAGCATCTCTGTCGGAACTCCTGAAAAATCAACCAAGCATTCTTGCTACTAAAGTCAGATTCAAAAATCGTACCAGAGTACATATTTACATACATAAATTTTGCTATTTTGTTAAAGCAGGGCATTACGACGTTCTTACCTATATCAGAATCATATGATCCCTTTCTCTACAACCTTCAAATTGCGTGCCCCTGAATTGTTTAATTCATTAACATGAGGGCCTTGCCATCGTACTACATACATATATTGTGTACTGTAACCCTCTTCCGCCTTTATCTTGGATCCTTTCTAATTGGAGGCTTTCTTTTAAAAATAAATTCATTTAGTAGAGGGACAACCAATATAGAAGGTCTACCAACTCACGGAATTTATTTTTTACTTACAATGGGTCGACAGAAAATCATTGGTGCTCAAAAGTGTTCAATTTCATTAAAAGAAATTCGACAAACCCAAACTCATCTGTGACGAAGTGTTCGCTCTGTGACGGCGGTGGCAGTTTTATTGCTTTGATGGAATGTGTTAATCGTGATTAATTTCAAGCTATATTGGCGAATTTAATTATTGTGTGAAATTTGAGGTCATCGAGGCAGCTGTGATGTCGCTGGAACATTTGTCAGAATTGGATCCCATACTTGACAATCTTGGGCGGCGACATGGAAAACTAGAAGTGAACGGAAAATTTAGGTCAGCACTATAGCGATGCTGACAAGATCTAAAACGATTTGTTTTCGGTTTTTAGGACGTATTACTGGTCAACCTTCTTGGAGTGCTCGATATGTATTTTCCGTCGAACACTGACAAGCTGTCGTAAATACCCGGATAAAGAGATTGACAGTACGATTATCCTGTGGAGATATCTATTGAGGGACGTAATGAAGAAAATCAAAGTAAGCGTTGCACTTTCATTGCTACAAAAATAAAAACTAAAAAATGAAATACTGGCATTTTTTCAACCCCATTCTGGCAACTACTCTAGGAAGGCGCCTATTAGGGCGTTCATATGGGAAGATCATTTTCAGGCAGCGTTAAGTTTTCTCGTAAAACCATTTGTTGTTAAAATATATTAAGCATCCTAAATAAACTACCATCTTGAGATATCATCACTCTTCATGTTGAATGCGAAAAAATGAATGGGCTTTTGAGAAAAACACCTGGGACGGTAGTAAACTAGCAAAACTTGCACGTTAACGGGCAGTTTTAATGAGCACGTCACGTGGAGGTGCAAGTTTTTCCGATGATGGTGGAAATCGCTTCTATGGCACCTAGGAGACCTATTATGAAACTCTGAAGAAAGCTTCCCAGGTGAGCTGCAGCTCCCTGGCAGGGTGGTTCCTTGTTACGCGCAGCCGTAAAACGCGCAGGAAGGGCTCGCTGACAGAAAACGGGACGCGGAGGGGCGAAATACAACGTGTTTGGAGAGACGCAGGTGACGCCCATTACGCGCAGCAAAACCTATCAAGAAAACCCCTACGAACACTTCATCAAAAATGAAGTTTAGCGGAATTGGCATTTTTCTTAACGGTATATGTAAGGGTTTTTCCAGTAACACAGTTAGGGCACTGCCGGACATTTTCTCACTTCCTTGTTTTTACAGAGAGTACGTCTACGCTGTGCAAGCATGTATAGACGCTCTAAAGCTTCTTATTGATTTAATATTGTTAGTAAAATTGATATTATTCAATATTTAGCTGCGTGTAAGCCATCCAATAAGAACGTCCATAACTTTCTCTTTCCACGCTAGTTTCTACCTCAATATCGAAATAAGACTAAATGATCGCAACACGCAAAAAAAACAGTTTAACCCTTCCAGCCCTAATTTTTCCGTACTTAAAAATTTCTTCCTGCTGTTGGTTATTTCTTGTGAGCACATGTATAACACAATGTGAAATTTGGAGGTTTTTTGAAGACAAAATAAGATATAAGGAAGCTTTGAAAGTTGACACAGCTTATTAGTTTATAGCTTATGTCGAAAAATTGCAAATTTCTCAGTTGCGTTGGAAAGTTTATGATCTCGCACAACATAATATTTAACGCTTTTAATAAAATGAATTAATATTTTTCAAGAATTTCAGAAA